CCTCTCCCTCCTCCCTTCTCCCTCCCCTCTCCTGCCTCCTCCCTCTTTCTTTCTCTCTCTCTCTCTCTCTCCCCCCTCTTTCCCTCTCCCTCTACCTCTCTTATCTGTTTGTCTCTCTCTCTCTCTCTTTCCCTGCCCTCTTCGCTCCTTCTCTCCTGGCGTTTTCCCTCTTCCTTCGTCCCTCCCCCTCCCTTCCTCCCACTCTCCCTCGTTCTCCCCCTCCTCATTTTGCAGGGCCCACACCAATTCCAGCCGCCCCCCACAAAGAGAAAATATCCCCCCAAAGGGGGTGTGATCGAAGACGAAAGGGGCGGGTATCGAGGACGTGGGGAACTCGTTTTGAATGACACACGGGCAAGTAATAGAGAACAGTCTTATAATGATTGTTGCTGTTGCTGTTGTTGCTGCTGCTGCTGTTGTTGAACTCACTACCGAATAATAATTGTTGTTGATCCCCCCCCTCTCCGGTGCACATTGTTTTCTCAGTTGAAGTGCGCCTCCCGGCGCTCGCACCAGGTTTTTTATCAGGCAAAGTCTTTCTCCTCAAATTGTGTCGTGGGCGCCCGGGTTACAACAACAACGGCTCCCGCCTGAGAGTTCCTCACGGTTTAGCCAAGACCCCCGCTCCCGCCCGAGACTTTCTCGCATTTTATTCAGGAATCGTGCTCTCGCTTGGGACTTCCATACAATCTATTCTGGAAACGCTCTCTCGGCGCTCTGGAGTCTCCAGCCCTCGCTGGAGACTTGCTTGCAATTTACTCAAGAATAGCGCCCTCGCGTTGGAATTATTTCCCGCAAATTATTCAAGCGTGTGATGATTGTTGTAGCGGTGGTGATGATGACGACGACGAGGACTTGACGAGGGCAAATGAAGGGATGGGAGAAGGGATGTGTGCGAGGAGGAGGAGGAGGAGGAGGAACGGGAGGAGGAAGGCAGGAAGGAAGGAGGAAGGAGTGAATGACGCGGGGTGCTGTCTCGTCAAAACGAAGACCCAACAACAGGCTGGTTGGGAAAGGTCATCTCCGCCGCTGCAATCACACATATATATATATATAGTTATATATATATATATATGTATGTGTATATATATGCATATATATATATATGTATATATATGTATATATATGCATAGATGTGTATATATATATATATATACACATACATTGCATACCCTCCGTTCGTGGCGCCTAGGATTGAAGCCTGACAAGTAAGGGTATTCCCAGAAGTGAATGCCCTGTCTCGACTAATTTTCCGACCCTAGTCCCAAAGTGCCAATGACTCTCCCGCCGCGAAGAGCGGCCACAAAGGTTCGCGCCTTGACGGAGCTCAGACCTCATTTATGGATTTTGTTGACGGCGTTTTGTTACCAAAGTATTTTCACGGACTCTGGAGGACTTGGCCAGGACCGTGGCTGACGAGGACGTTCATGATCCGTGTTGCCCAGGCGAAAAGCGATTTCGCATGAAACAGCAAGATGCATATCCACGGGTGCCAACATAGCTGCGTTGCATATCCTGAAACCCTACAACAAAGTGCATTCAAAAGGTGAATGCCCTGCTTCGACGATGTGACGACCCCATCTATTCGTTAAGTGTCAGCAAATGGGTAATAATGTAAACTTTCAAGTTTTACAGCCAAAACAACTTCAGGGGCTTGGCCGGGACCGCGGCTTATGAGAAGGTTGGTGGCCCTCTCGTCGCAGAAGAAACGCTGTTACGCCGGTGCTCACGGAGACACGCGTCGATGCGTTCGCTGCTCATCCCCCGCCGCGCAGCGTGGTGAAAGAGGATCGCGCTTTGACGGAGCTCTGACCTCATCTGTGTTTCTTTGACTGCGCATTGTGATGCGGTGGTATCTTCTCACGGGCCCTTGAGGGAGCTCTGACCTCATCCTGTTTCGATAACTGCTCAAATTTGTTGGGGTCGTGTATATAGATGTATGTGAGTACACATTATCTTGTATCACTCTGCTGCAACTGCCGCCGTGCATGCTCAAGCGAGGTCGAGACACCCCGCGAAGTCGAGACACCCCGCAGTAAGGAATCCTCTGTGAGGACTTCCCAGTAGGGAATTCTTTGTAGGCATCCCCAGTAAGGGAGCCTTTGTAGGGAATTCCCAGTAGGGAGTCCTTTCTAGGCATCCCCAGTAAGGAATCCTTGAGTAAAGGATCCAGAGTAGGGAATCCTCATGAAGGAATTCGGAGTAAGGGAGCCTGAGGAAAGAATCCGTCAGGAATCGCCAGCGTCCATGCTGCGACAGATTGCCCAGGAAAACCTCGCTTCGCCCGCGCGGACACGCGTCAACGTCTGCCAACTCGGAAGGGTACCCATAGGGGGATTCCCATAGGGATTCCTATCAGTGGGATTCCCATAGGGATTCCCACTGATGGGGATTCCATCAGTGGGATTCCCATCAGTGGGATCACCATAGGTTTTTCAAAACTCTTCCACCAGTGGGATTCCCGTAGGGATTCCGCGGCACCGTCGGCGTCGGCGTCGGCGGGGCGGGGTCCCGCAGTCTCCGCGGGGAGCCGTCGAGACACGGGGCCGTGGGGCCCAGCAGAGCGCGAGCAGGCCCGGAGGGAGAAGAGCAGGGCGCTTCGCGCTGCGCGCAGCGCGGAGTGCGAATAACTTCGCGCGCTCGCGCCGCCTTCCCGGGGAGAAGAGGAGGATGAGGAGGAATCGGAGTTCCAGGGGAGAAGAGGAGGATGAGGCGGAATCGGAGCCGAACCGCGAAGCGCGAAGCGCGAGTAACTTCGCGCCTTCGAGGGCACCCTTGCTGAACGGGCGGCGCGGGCGAGCGGAGCTTCACGGGCAACGCGGGGGAAGGAGGCCCGGAGGGAAAAGAGCAAGGCGTGAGCCAGGCGTGAGCAGGCCCTATGTGAGCAGGCGTTGCAATTTTTTCCCACCGACCGCGGGGCCAGTCCCACGGAATCGCGCTCTCGCCTGGGACGTCTCCGGATTCTGTTTCCCACGCCGCGACCTCGGCACTCAGGAATCACGCTCTCGTTCCTCACGACTTACTTGGGAATTGCACTACGAGACTTCCTCGCGATTCATTCAGGACGCACGCTTCAGCAAGCCGCCTGGTCGACCTGGCCGTCTGGGTCCGCCTTCCCGACCCGCCCGCTAGGGTCTACCCGCCCGATCTGCCCGTCTGGTTCTGACACGTGCTTTCTGCTCCTAGCCTCCTCCTAGTCTCTCTCGCGCTCCATCCTCCTTCGTCCCTCCATGTCCCTTCCTTCTATCCGTCCCTTCTTCCTCTGCCTCAGTGGCTGCATGTAGTACACGTTGCAGGTGAGAAATCAATGCCCCAAAGGGGTACGGTCGAAGGCGAAGAGGGCGGGCATCGAAGGTTCGGGATATACGCGTTGCGTGGCGCGCGAGCAGGGAAGAGCGAACAATCTTAAACCATTGGTTGTTATTGTTGATGTTGTTGTTGAAACTTCACTGCTGCATAATAAGTCTTGTTGATCCCCCCTCCGGTGATATACGTGTGTTCTTTTGATTGAAGTGCTCCTCCCGGGGCTCACACCCTCTTGTTTATGAGGGAAAGTCTGCGGTCTCCAAACTACGCCCGTGGACCCCGATTTACAACAACAGCGGTTTCCGCCTGATGCTTCCTCCCATGGGTTTCAAATTCGCGCTCTCGCGCGGGATGTCTTGATAATTTACTCAAGAATCGCGTTCTCGCGTGGTACATCCTCACCATTTATTGCGGCGCCGTGCCCCCCACACTCAGGAATCACGCTCTCGCTTTAGATTTCCCCACGATAAACCTGGGAATCGCGCTATCGCTTGAATCTTCATTCTTGATGGGCTGACGCTTTCGCGACCCGCCCGCTCGACCTGGCCGTCTGGGCCCGCCCGCCCGACCTGCCGGTTAGGGTCCGCTCGCCCGACACGCCCGGCTTGTTCTGTCGCTTGTGCTGCTGCTCCTAACCCTCCTGCAAATTTCTCTCGTGCTCCGTTTTTCTTCGTTCACCTTCTCTCTTCACTCCTTCAATCATTCCCCGGTTTTAGGGGCTGCGCCAGCTACGCGCGGCAGGTAGGACAGATACACCCCCAAGGGGTGGTACGATCGAAGACGAAGAGGGCGAGTACCGAGGGTTTTGGGATACACGCGTTGTGTGGCACGCGAGCAAGTAATAGCGAACAGTTTTTCAGTTCATAGTGTTGAAGTTTTGCTTCTGAAGAATGATTTTTGATCTCCCCTCTCCCGTAACCATTGTATTTTTTGATTGAACTGCTCCTCCCAGGGCTTGCACCTTTTCTTTTTCAAGGGGAAGCTGTGTGTCACCGAACTATGCCCCTGGCCCACGGTTTATAACAACAGCGGCTGCAGCCTGATGTTTCTTTCCTCGCAATTCATTCCAAAATCGTGCTCTCTCGCAGGACTTCATCATAATGTATGCAGATATCGCGCTTTCGCGTGGGACTTCTTTGCAATTTATTCACACGCTGTGCTCTCGCTCAGGAATCGCGCTTTCGCTCTGGCTTTTCTCACGATTTACTTGGGAATCGCACTATCGTTCGAGACTTCCTCGCGATTCATGCAGATCTCACGCTTCAGCAACTCGCCTGCTCGACCTGGCCGCCTTGGCCCGCCTTCCCGACCCTCCCGCTATTGTAGGGTGTACCCGCCCGATCAGCCCGAGTGCATGGCGCGAAACGCGAATGCAGTCTTGTGTGTATACATTAAAGTATATAGATATAGCGTCCCCTCCCTTTTCCCGCACGCTGGCCAATTAGCTTTTCGGTTCCCCCGTTTAGCTCTGCCGCTGGTGCAGCCAGTCTGCGTTGCCGCCGACGGAACAGTGTGTGTATATATGTAGATACATACACATGTATTCGGACCGGTGGCGTGCGTTGGTTAAATGGTCAATATGATGCCTAGCCATCCCTCCCCTCGGCCTTCAAGTTATGATGGCCTAGCTTGGGGCAGATTTCCCCCTCAGACATATTTGTGTGGGCTCAGTTTGAACAAGGCACCCGCCACGTAGCCGTTTTAGCTCAAGCCCAACAAATATTTCGCCTTCGCCCTTTAGTCCAAGCGCTTACAGCAGTCAGCGGCGATGCCTTTGCGGAGCGGAGTTTGCAGGATCTGGAACGATGAAAAGGGCTTCGGCTTCATCACGTCTGACGACGGTGCCGGTGATTATTTCTGTCACAGGTTGGTCGTGGAGGGGTCCAATTATTTGAATCCAGGCGACCGTGTCGAGTTCACCCTCGAGCACGACAAGGAAAGAAGAAAGTACAAGGTGGCGGGCTGCCAGATCGTCGAGAGGGTGGAGGGCGGCGCCAAGGCCGTCGCCCTGGGATTAGCAGGCAAGGGCGCGGGCGAGAAGGGAGGCAGGGGCGACGGCGGCGGCAGGGGGGGCGGCGGCGGAGCCTACTCGCCCTACGGCGGCCCTGCCAACCCGTACCCGTGGAGAGCTGGCGGGAAGAAGTAGACCGAGGCAGGAGCAGGGAGGGGCCGCCGCGCGCGCCCCGCCGCCGCGAGTGCACCGACAACTCCAGGGCGGCGGCCGCCGACCGGGCTGTCGGCCGACGCCCACCCCCGCCGAGGCGGGCAGACTCCCTCTTCTGCTGCTCGGCCGCGCCGCCGAGCAGTGCTCCCCGGGGGAAAAGCGCGCGTGCACGGCACCCGCTGCCTCTCCCTTCCTCTCCTCGCGCGCCCCCCCCCCCCCTCTCGCCTCCTCGTCCGTGCACTCCTCCTCCTGCCACCTCCCGCGTCCGTCTCCTCGTGTCCCGCCTCCCCCCTCGCTTCCTGTGCTCTCTCGCGCGGTCTCTTCCTTGGGCGCCGCCGGGCGTGGAGCTGCCGCGGTCCTGCTGCGTCCCTGGAGTGCCCCGCGGAGTGGCATGTTGCGCAGGCCCGAACGGGACCTCGCCCTCCTTCGGTGCTGACAGGCGTTCGGCCGTCGCCGCTTTGCCGAGCCCATGGCAGGCCGCCGTCGCCGTCGCCGTCGCCGTCGCCGTCGCCGTCGCCGTCGCCGTCGCCGTCGCCGTCGCCGTCGCCGTCGTCGTCGTCGTCGTCGCCGTCGTCGTCGTCGTCGTCGTTGTCGTCGTCGTCGTCGCTCACAAGGGACCTCGCCCTCGAGGTGCGGCCAGGCGCGAAGCTGCTGTTTCTGGGCTGCGCCGTGAGAAGAGGTCGGCGGAGTGAGGCCCACCTGGGACCTCTCCCTCCCTGGGTGCTGCTTGGAGTGCAGCTCTCGCCGTTTTGCTGCGTCCCCCTCGCGGGCTCGGGGGGGCCCAGCGGAGTGGAGCGGCCGCTCACGCAGACCCCAACGGGACCTCGCCCCCCTTCTCAGAGGGTGCTGCCCGGCGCGCGGCAGCTGCCTCGGGATCTGCTGCGGCTGTGCGGCTCAGCTCCGAGTGCCCACACGGAGCGGTGCAGGGGGGAGGCCAACAATTTTGCACTGTCCCGGCGCCCGTGAGCGTTCGTGCGTGATCGAGGCGTCGGACACCCTCTGTCGTCATCACGTCCCTATCCTCCTCGCCCGCTTTGCCACCTCCTCTCCTCGTCGTTCTCGACAATATTCTCGTTACTCTTCCTTCTCCTCTTCGTCGTGGTCCCACGGGGCGTGTAATGACACCACATCCTATGCAGCCTTCCCAAGATATTGCGCATCTTCTCTTATGATGGATGGGCTCGCTGACATCTTTTCCTATGATGGATGGGCTCGTTGACGTTACCACCTGTTGCAGATGGGTTGAGTAGGCCCTGTATGCAATTCTTGGAAACGCCTCTTCACATGGCAGCGCCGTGGTGTAAACCCGGGGGGGCCTAGGATACCTTAGGCCTACTGAAGACCCTAGGGTTGCTTAGGGTAGGGCCTGCTGAAGGCCCCAGGCTTGCCTAGGGTAGGGCCTATTGAAGGCCCTGCCAATAGTAGTGCCTACTGAAGGCCCGAGGCTTGCGAAGGGTAGGGCCTACTGAAGGCCCTAGGGTATCCCCAGGGTAGCCCGATGGGTAGGCCCTAGGGGTAGCCCTAGGGTAACCCTAGAGGTAGGCCCTAGGGGTAGCCCTAGGGTAGCCAGGGGGCCTCCCCGAAGCTCGTCGTCGTCCTCCTCCCTCCTCCCCCTGCCCCTTCTCCCCCATCCTCCTGTTTCCTCCGCCTCCTTTTCTTTCGCCTACTCCTCGCCCTCCTCTTCTTCCTTCTGTCCTCTTCGATCGCACATGGATGGGGGTCCCGTGCGGGCCGACGGCAGGCAGGCCGTGCCGGGCGAGCGAGATATCAAAGTATGCTGTGTCGCGTCAGCATTTGAGGAGAAGGACGAGAAAAATATGAGGATGAGGTGGAGGACAACGCAGAGGTGGGAGGGGAAGAGGAAGAGGATAGGGTGGAGGAGGAATTCTGGGAGTGGGAGGTAGGGCGCGTGTGTGTGTGTGTGTCGCAGCGACAGCGTCCCCGATCCCGGTCGGCACGCCGGCGGCCCCGCAGCCTGGAAACCAGCAGGCCGGGCAAAGCTGGCAGACCACCCAGGAGCAGGCCCACCT